TTGCACGTAGAACTAAACAAACAACACACCTGTCTAGAAAGTCTATGAATGGGAAAATCATACCCCGCCTGACCCACGAATAATCCTGTCCATGATCATTAAAAGTAACCATAATTAATGACCACATCACAAGTTCCACCACACAAGTACACAAGTTCACTTACATAAACAAACTTTTTATAGAAAGTAATCCGTACCCTTTGATTCTCGTTCCCAGAATGTCCAAAGAACATCACGCACGCTGCCTCAGGTATACAAGACCTCAAAACCAGCTCAGGAGCTTGCGTCATTGGATCAATAACAATAGCCGGCCAAAACGGCTCCCTCTTCCTTGTCCTTGCCCACACTATATCCCCCGAATAAAAATCCTCTGGCCCGTACAAACCATCTTTCCTTTCAACATTCTCCCGCGAAACTCGCTCCTCAGCTCTTAAATCAACAATGTCCACCCCATTCGCGTACTTCTCATCCTCCTCAATGAATTGCTCATGTACTGAAGTTAATGAACTCCTGGAACTCGAGTACTTCCTAATATCAAAAGTCCTACCATGCCCTGCTTCTTTTTCATCTTCCACACACAATGTAGTATATTTTCTCCCTTTAAAACCATTCTTCTCTTTGATTCTCCGATTTTTCATCCTTTGCTTGCAGTTTTTAGGTGTTTTAAAACTGAATTTATCCTTTTTACATTCATAATCATCATCATCGTCGTCGTCGTCAAAACTATAATCACGCAAGCTACTTTTACTTTCTTTCTTCCAATTCTCAATAACAGAATCATTAAACCGTGAAGGAAGTACCTGAACTCGCCCTCTCGACGTCTTTACAAGCGGTGGCCGAGCAATCTCCACCGTTCGGTTCTTGGACTTGGACAAGTCTGAGCCCTTGGATTTGGACTCCACTTCATCAGGAGAGTACGAGACTTCGGTGCACCCTGAAGCCGCGAAACCCTTCTCGGCCTCGCCGGAGGCAATAGTATGATGGAGGCTAAATGAAATTATGCCAGCGGCAACCTCTCCGAGGAGAGTCAGAGGATAATAGCCGTTGATTTTTCGCTTCTTGCGAGTTGTTCCCGGGTTATCATCATCTTCACCTACTGAGTGGCCGAGTTTACACCGTTTTAGACTCGGCATTTGGGATTTGAGGTTGCGCTTGATTATCATATTTTCTCTAATCAATCAATCCCTTCTCATCGACTTGAAAAAAAAAAACTCTCAGTTCTTCGTTCTTCCAGTTCAGGAACGCTTAGACCAAGCAAGGATTTCACATGGAAAACCCAATTCCCAAAACACCCATAAACCCTAATTACAAACTCAATTTTCCACCAACAAAGAAAACAATTGGACCTTTACTTTTCCTTTCTCTTTTTCCCCTTCCCTGTAAACAAACACAGGAATCGAAAAGAGATGAAGAGATAAAAGGAGGAGGGGAAATTTAACGAGAAACCAATCAGAAATTGGAGAGGAGAATATCAGAATTTTTGGGTGGGTTCGATTGGATGGAATGGAGATCTACTTCGATTAAGCTCTCTCTCTCTCTAAAACTGCTTCAGAGTATTAGAGTAAGAGAGAAACAGAAGATATATAATCTTTAATTAAAATTTCCCAAACATTATTAGAAAAACAAGTTTATCTAATATTGGAGACAATTTTTTGTTTTCTGGAAAAAAAATTTGTGAGAGTTGAAAGAGAGGGAGAAAGGAAAGCGGGGTCGGCGTTATCTATGTTGTGAAATAGAAGAGAGAGAGAGGAATATTTGTTTTGTGTGAATACGTGGGCTGGGGGTGTACAATGCGAGTGAGGGATGGCTAACTTGCACCTTTGCGTAATGTTGGGTGCGATTTCTTCCTCCTTCGGTTCGTGACTCGCGGTTCATTCTGGTTATGGCTAACATGTAACAACACCCTTTTTTTTCCTGTTACGTTTTTTCAAGCTTTTTTGTATGATTTTCTGAGCAGAGGGGATTTTGGAAGGTTGATTCCAAGAAAGTTGGAACTTTACTGTAAATATGTACGTACCTTTTTTTAATGGTAGTAATAGATTTTTGTTGGGTTTTTGGATTTGATTTTTTTTTTCAATGGCGCATCAAGAATTGGTAATTCTAGCAAGCTCTGGAATTGGTTTTTGATATAACCACAATTTGCTTGGAGGGGTGCTTCGGGTATTCGCAGATGGAGGTTGGACGCTGCGGATACTGTTGCTTCAAGCGATTTCATACAACTAATATATGAATTTCTTGCTTCACTTTTTGTTTATTTATATTTAGATATTATTTCACGTAAGCTCAATGAATTTAAATATGTAATTCATCATAGCGTAATTAATTTGATGCGATGGGTCATCCAACGCTCGGGGTCGATGATGGTTTCATGCATAAAATTTTTGTTCATTTGATAATGACACAGTAAGTAACCAGGAGGGTGTTGATGACTTGATGCATATGGTTTGTTTGAAAAAGTTGTCTGCAAATGAAATACAGGAAAAAGGATGAAATAAAGGCAGCCACGTTGAACCACTGGTCGGGCTGATCAGAAATTATTGCTAAAGTGGAGGAATTTTCATGTTGGGGTGTTCATGGCTCTTTATTAATCGCATATATTGCAATTTTCTAGACTTTTGGCACATTTTCTTGGAGTGGCGGTTTAGGGTAAGCTTCGAGGTAGATGGATATTTTGACAATTTGAGTTTATGTTGCTTTTCTTGTCTCTTTTTCAATTTTTTTTTTAATAACTCTCCAGCTTTCCAAATATCAACAATCTTTTCAATTATGTACCAAGTTTTTAATCATTTGGAATTGCTGAAAATCCCGGATCTGGTGAACTGGTGAAGATTAAATTCATTAGTTGGATCATGTATCGAGTTAAAACAAGTTGGTGGAGATTGCCAGTTGGATACATGGGTTTCGAAATGACAACGTAAATGATGGTCTGTCAAAGGTGTACAAATCTGTGTTTTGATTTTTGAAGATGACGAGTTTTGGGCCAGATATTTTTGGGGCAGATGGGTATCTGAATCCATTACCGTTCAGCCTGTGCCCATCAGTTGACTGATCTTCAAGACCCAGATTGAAGGGGACAGAACCAGTAAGCAGCTGAGACAAAATAACAGCCAACAAGCAGGACATTCAGAAATTATCAATGTTTTGTAAGAACATGCCATTTGACAAGAAATTTGGGTGGAAAAGAAAGAACTTGACAATATTTTTGTTTATGGGTAGGGTTGGGTCGCTACTATGATGCAACAAGACTCTGATCCATGTTTGGAGAGGACGTCCTGTTTTCAAGCAATTAGCTGCGCAATGGAAAGTCAACAATTTCTTCTTTCTTTAGAGAGAGAAAAGACGAGGAAGTTGAGAAAGAGGAGTTACAAGTAATAATTTGGGGAAGAGGGGCCATGGACAAATTTATATATAGGTTTTATTTGGTAAATTCAACTGTTTCTGCTCAAAGTCTAACAGATGAAATCAGATCTTATACCTAACTCGAAACATGGATCTTCTTGTTTTTTTTTCTTTTCACTGCATCAGGCAGCGAGCTGGAGTCAAAATGGTTTGGTAATGACTAATGAGTAATGAACTAATGATCATGGCCGTGCCCGAAAGCCCAAAATTTGAGAGAGAGAGAGGTCTTTTGGTTTGGATCACGTGGGTCTAGAGATGGAGTCAATCTTCTAGTCAAAATCCAAAACTACTTGCTTTGTGGAGTATAGAGTTCCACATCGTTGGATTTGATGTGTGCATAGGTTAGCCTGGACTCTCCTCTGATTTGGCTCAATTGATTTCAGTTTCATCTGGTTGTTGTGAGCAGGTTGAAAGAGGTTGCAATCCCACCATCTCCAAGTCACCAGAGCTATGGAGTTTGACTTTGGAATCAGTATGGATTGGATGATGCTTTTGAAGAAAACTAGTGGCATAGAAGGAACATGGAACAGATAGCAGAGAACCGATACTTTTTAAAAGAAAAGAAATAGATAAGTGGAAGAAGACAGATAAACAGATTGCTGAGGCAGTGGAGGATTGAACATGGAACAAACGAGAGTGAATCTCAGCATCGAAATCAGGAGAAAAACAAAGGGATTGAAAGGAGGCCACGACGTACAGAAATAGTTGCATGGGAAATTGGAAACCGACTCCAGCCGTCTGGTGGTAGTGGGCTTCACGACTACTGTCCATGTCAGTACATCCATCTCATGTAACATGACCGTTTGTTTAACTCAGCGAACATTAACTGAAACTCGGGATGTCCAGTGAGTCAGCTCAATGTTTCATAAGCCAGGGTAATTAGGGACAGGCGCCCTGCAAATTAGTAGTGCTGTGAAGTATGCAATAATGAGTTGTTTCTTCTTGTCCTATGACTCCGGTTGCTCAACTTACTATTAAGAATGATATAACCACAATTGGGATTCTTCTGTGTTTGTCCACATGTGAGAATTGTGGTAGCAATCGATGGTAGATATTAAACTGCCAGAGTAATAATACTTCTCTTGACAAAATTATTGAAAGCTTCGGCAATCATACCAATATTGAAACCTAATGGACACGTGACACCTAATCGAAAAGAAAAAGACCCTTCTGGACAGGTATATACCTTCGTGCTGTCATAGAAAAATCCAAAACCTTTCTGTTCATGATCTAAGATTGCGAAGTGGATTGGCAGCCACTGCAGTCCAATTAGAAGAAATCGATTAGATTTGTCAGATGTGATCCTGATGGAACACATCGATTTAATGTATTTTTATCATCAACCCTCTGAGGAAAGGGCAACTTCGGTAGAAATGAGCCTTGATTGTTGCACAAGAGTAAAACCATTTAATAAAATTACTAAATGGGATCACAGGGGAAACAGGTCAAAGGTTATGGAAAAATGGGGAAGGAAAAATTTGTAGTGTTGAGAATCAAACATCAGCCTCGCAATAATGAAAATGAATGACCCATTTGTACTAAATCCCAAGTTACTATCATCTATTTTGGCTGAGACACCAAGATGGAGAAAACATCATCATTTTATAAAACATATATGAACAAGTACAAATTTCTGCTTTGCCATTTTATTGAACAAACACTGCATTTTATTGAACAAACACTATGTACATCCTACTTGGCCATTACCGTTATACAGGAGGTTATTACAGCAAATAAGATAGAACTATTTCTCAGGAGCTGGGTTCTGGTTTATTTAGCAGTACCTGTCTAAGATTTCCACGAAGGCTATATATGCCAAATTGACACTGCTGATTATTTCCATTACCTTCTTGGACCTTGCTACTTCATTCCTGTTTTGCTTAGTAATAATTTAATCAGTCAACATTTATTGCCTCTTGAAGTTACCAGATTCTTCAGTCCTTGCAAACCTTCCACGGATCCTCGGTTGACTGTCAGCAAGAGCCTTCCTGCAAGCATACTGAAAAAAAAAAAAAATCATGAGTTTCAGTACAAAGTCCAATAAAGGGCATGTATGGAATAGGAAAAATAACCATGGAGTCTTAAATGTATTCCTTGCCAAACACTCTAGGTAGTTAGTCATCTTGTTTGATCTCAAAAACTAAGAAACAAATGCAACTGACATTAACGGAAGCAGAATCAACTTTAATTTTTACCTTGATTTTCCTTCCAAAGTTCCTCTTTGTCTTCTTATTCCTGTATCTGGAGAGCTTTTCCCTTCTATCTTCGGAAGAACAGATGCTGACAATTAATGGTCGCTCAAGGGGAGAATGGATGACACTTGTATTACCATTGCCAAGAGTCTGTCATAAAAACTCAGTATCAATGACCCAGCCCATCCTGTGGAAATGGCCAGAAACATCTAAAAGTTTCTTAGTCCGAAGACTTTGTTACAAAGACAGTACATACTCAGTGCTCAACTGCAATTTGATGAGTCACTTGATTCTGGTGGGTTTGTATAAGGGAAATGACGAAGAAAACACTGAGGTTTTTTATGAAGACAAAAGGAGAATGTTTGAATTTTAGATATCAGTAGAATTTTAACTGCAAAGCAGGATCCCCATTGCTTCCTGGTGTGTTTTTGACAAGGATAAACACTGTTGTGTTCATAAGTGGCTATGACATAGTATTTGCTGAAGTCCTTGTAAGGGAGGGAACATGTTAGCAGATTAACCCAAATGGTTCATACTAGGTGAGTTTTTGGGTTCCAACAGCAAAAGTACAGCAGAAGGTGAAAGTTGAATGCAGGGAGAGTTATGGATGGAAAGATGCCTCCTCTAATTAGAAAAGGTCCAGGTAATTTGTGGCTCTAACATTTTAAAGTCGGGTGCATAAGCTAAAGAAATCAAGTATAAAATCGGATTAATTTTAAGAAAGAATATGGTAATCCACACAAATGCCAACAAAAAAGCTAAAAGCCTCCATATCAGTCACTGGACAAGTACAAAGGTAGAAAAAAACACAAAAATAATTAAGGCTGACCTTTATATCTCCTTCACTAAGTGATCTCCTCATTCCAAAAACAGAACCAAAATCCATTCCAGGGAAATCCAGAAAATTAGGATTGATTGCAGACCCTTGCATCCATTCCATTGAGCTTAGACAACCTGAGCTGACACTTTTCTGGAATGGTACATCACAGAGCACTTTTTTTTCTTTGTTTTGGTTTTCATCCGTCTTCACAGCAGGAATCTCGATATCCAGGACCTCAGACAGCGGAGTTTCTATTGCTGCTTGTGCCATCAGATCCTTCTCACACTCATAGAGAACCTCTAAAAGCTGCTCATTTTGAATTGATTCGATATCTGCAGCCTTAAGTCCTTGTGAAGTAATGACATCTTCACCACAGGAGATTAATGAGATGGCTGCTGTCACGGGATCAAGGCTCACAATTGATTCTTCAATGATGGGTTCTGGAGCTTTGAACAGATCACCTTCTCCTCCCAGGTCATATTCAGATATTGTGGAGGTCTGAACAAGGTTGTCCTACGTTAGGCAAGAACAAGTAAAGGAAGGTTAAGAAACAAATACTATTAAATGTTGAATAGGGTTTTTTCCTGAATGAAACAAAAGTAGGAGAGGCTATAACAATAATTCAGTATAAAAATCTTAAAGATTAATACAGGCAGAAACGCACTTTGCTTGGTATTGTCCAAAGAGAAAAGATTCCATATTCTAGTCAACTCCAAAAAAAAGCTTTAGCCTAGAGCCCTAGACAAAACAATGCAATTTTGACCAATCTCAAGATATATGAGTTCAGTTTCATCACATCTTCTTTTCTTTTTCTCTCATAAACAGTCTTATTATCTTTAGTCTTTTACAAATGAATTGTCCCACATCAGACATGTTAAACTCAATCCCAAAGATTCTAGCGCAAAGGTCAGCAACCAGCTTAGCTAATCATGTTCATTTAAATGTGCTCCTCGACCACCTCCTCCTCTGCCATCCATAAAAACCAGTTCAGAACACAACTAAATTCAAATATTCGATTGTTTAAGGAATCAATCTAAATTTCATTTTAGTAACAACTTACTGTAGCTTAAACACGTCCGTGATATACAATACCAAATTCGAACATAAACTCAAGTTTTTATAGTTGTGTAAGATTGCCACCGAAAAGATTATGGTGAAAGGAAAAAGAACCAAAGATAAATTCTCATGGCGGCTTGTTTCCGTGTTCAGTATGCACACAGTAAAAGACTATATCCGAAGACAATATGGCAATCAAACTCTATTAATCAAATTCAAAAATCCTTCTCACGGTCAACATATTCTCTGGTAACAAGATAACTATTTATCAGAAAATTACCCTTATTACACTAAGAAAAGATCTATAACAACCATTTAAAGGGAAATTTTTATTTCTACTACTTTCTCCAAATTTTGATTTTTCACTTTTGACACCAACTAAACTAAAAAGCAATATGAAGCTTTTCTACTTGGGTACTTACCCTCCTTTTTTGACCTTTTATACTAAGAAAACTAAAAAAAAACGACTTTTTTCTTCTTTTTTTATTTTTTTTCTAGTATCTCTGTATAAGTGGGTTAAAAAGTGAAAAACCGAATAACAGTTCACACAAAAAAGTTGAAGAAAATGGAAGAAATGTTCAAGAACACGGAATTCGTGACATGGAAATAATTTCCAATTATATTCCAACTTTTCTTTGTTTTCTTTCCTTTTTCCAGATCCAGCATGTAAACATAACTTTCAATTTTTTTTCCATTTCAGACTTGTTTGGTTGCTGAGAAAGTGTTTTAAGAGAATAAACTAATTAAAGTCCCCCCTTTTCACGAGAACCCAAAAGCATAGATCATGAAGGCTGAAGCTTCTAAAATACATTAGAGGGGAACATGAAACAAAATTTTCCGTAGAAGTTGAAATCTTTAATATGCGGAAATGAAGTCCCACTATGAAATCACTTAAAAACTAGAAGAAATTTTAACTGAAACACAAAATCGTCTCCATTTTTTGCTCCATTTTAAAAGCAACAAAAATAAAGAATTATTACAATACAAAAAACAAACACCGCAATTCCTCAGATGCAGACAATCAAAGCTAGGCCTAATCAAACAAATGCAGATCGCCCCAAAGAAACCAAAGCAATGAAAGTGAGGACAAGATATCAGAGACAAAGATTGAGATATCCATTACCATTGAAGCTTTGGGTTTATGCGTTTTGCAGTAGTCTTCAAACTGCTGAAAATCTTGAGAAAAGTTCAGCATGTAAGGGAAAAACAGCCCTGTCTCTGCATACATTTCTCCACCAACAGGCACACACTTTCTTTGATTCTTTCAGAGAAAGAAAAGAACCTTTTTTCTTCTTCTCTCGTAAATGAACAAGGGACGTCACTTCTCTAGAAAACAGAGTTCCAAAGTAGGCAAAGTGCTAACTTAAAAACCTAGCAGCCAAAATGTTAAGGGAGAGAAATTTGATTGGTTTTGGCTATGATGTTGGACTTCATAAGAAAGAAAATTTATATATTTATAATAATCAGAGGTGCTATTAATTTAGTACTAAGCTTTTTACGGAAAAAAAATAAAAAAAAAAAGTTATAAATAGGTAGTAAAACGACAAGGTGTAAAAGGACATGGTATATTGTGGTCTGTCCCCATTGTCCTTATCATGGCTTTTATTTAACAGAGTCGGTATTATTTATTATTATAAATATAATAATTATTAGGGTTTTATTGATTTTTTTTTTTTGGGAATTAATAATGAAATAAAATTTTTATATTAGTGTAACAGCAATTTGCATTGGTGAATGAGCCATGCTTTGGACAAGTTTGTGGGCTGGACAGTGCTCATCAATCACTCCGTCCTTTATATCTCTCATGTCAGAGAGAAACAATTGTTCCCAACGCGATTATTGTGCGCGTGTCCTACAATTTCCTAGCATGTGGATGATAGGGATACTCGGCTGCAGCAATTTTTTTGGTAGCAGTCCAGACTTTTTGTTGCCAGTCAAACAAATGGGAGAAGTAAAAGAAGCAAAGAGCTGATGGGATTTTTGTTCTTCGCTTGTTTGAGGGCTTTGCGGCTTTGTCCCTGTTCTGGATTTTTTTTTTTTAACTTCTGATCTCCCCGTTAATCACTTGAAGTAGAACACAAGAAGCATGTTTTTAGCTTGACAGTGAAGTTAAACTTGTAATAAGATTTTAAGTTGGATCTTTTACATATAAAATAAGTGAGGTTTAAGGAACAGATATGGATAAACATCACGTTCTTCTTAACGACGAGATATATCTAAAATTTATTTATTACGTGATAAGAACTACTGATCTAAAGTTTGGAATGATGCTAAAACAGATATCATGATTCCAATTATAAATTGTAAAGGATAAAGAATCGTATCATAACTAAACATGTTTAAAGGTTAAATTATTCGTCAAAATTCGAAAATCTATTAAACTTTTAAAAAATTTTAGATAAAAAAATTAAAACACGTTAAATAAATTTGGACATAATTTTTAAATTTATTTAAATTTCGAACCAAACCTTAAACAAAATGATTAAAACTTGAACCTTCATTTCATATATGTATAAATTATTTATTTATATATATGTGTGAATTATATATAAATTAATTAATATATATTAAAAAAATAATATATTATTAAACTTAATTTTTATTTTTAATTTTTACATATATAATTTTTATTTTTAATTTATATATATAGGAATTAAATATAATTCCATTAAAGTTTAATTTAATTATACCTTTTTAAAATTTTTTTTATGTAAATTAAGTTTGATGGGTGGATTTAGGATTTTTTTTAATTTGAACTAAATTTAAAAAAATTTGAAGTCTGAAATTTAAGGTTGAACCAGGCTTGAACAAGCATATAAATTATTAATACTAAGTATGAGTCCGATTCGAACTCGATTCATGAACATTTCTAATCACAATATATGCCTTTTTTATGTTCTTTGAAAATTAAACTTTACGTTAAGATAGTGCTTGAAATATGATGATCATTCAAAAAATTATGATGATTAAATTATTGTATTTAATAAATACCATGTAATCATATGCAATAATGATTTTAAAGTTCAAATCTTAATATTTATAATTCTTTCTTTTATCTCAAATTACAATAATTTTTAATAAAAAATTTATGAATAAGGACAAGCTATATGGTTACATCAAAAATTTTCATAATTTTAATAAATTAGGTTAGAATTAACAATCTAATTAAAAAAATTAGATTAGATTTGATAAGACTTAAATATCTTATCATGATAAAAAGCACGTGCCATTATGTAAAATCAAGCTTCTGAGTGAAATTTTGGCTTAGTTATCTTTTTATACATGATGTAACATTACCTTCTGCAATTTTTATGAAACAAAGGTTAATTTTAAAGATTAATATTTCATACAGTGATAGTGTTTATCACCCTTATACATTATCAATCTATAATATAAAGACATCTCATTAATGAATAAAATTTAAATTTTCAAGTTTTTAAAAATAAATATTAATAAATATATTTAGGGTGAAATAATTATAATTAAAACTTTAATTAACCTTAAATAAATTTATTAATATTATTTTTAAGGGCTTGAAAGGTTTAAATTTTATTTATTACATGAGTTGTCATTGTTTTATCGACTAACAGTACATAGGAGTGATACATTGTCAGTGTATAAATATTAATCTTAATTTTAAAGCCACAAAACTTGTAATGGTTGAAAAACAAAGTCCAATCAACAATAGTTTTTGAAGTTTTAATCAATAAATTATACAAGTTTATTTTTGATATATTGATTGTGTAATTTTTAAAATTTTATAAACTAGAGAGGTTGTTTCACATCTAATATTTAAAATTTTTTATTTTTTATTATACTTTAAAAAATTTGTGTTACTTTATTAATTTTAAAAATATAAAAAAATTTACTATTTAAAGGTACGATAAATTTTCAAACTATAATTTTGTGCCACTAAAGTATCGTTTTTATTAGGTTTATGCATAAATGTTTACACTTTTCACATGTTATATATACTTTTTAAAGTTATATTCATAATCAAATATTACATTTATATAATCAATTATTATATCAATTAATAAATTATAATTTATTCTAACAATTAAATTCATATACAATAAAATTTAAATTTAAAATATTTAAATTTTGATATCTTCTCTTTTCTATTAAGTCAAGGTCTTATTGACCACTAGTCATATATACTTAATATATAATAAACAATTGGATTAGCATAAAGTAATAAAAAAGACGCAACAAGCTAAGGTTCAAGTTTCTTTTTGATTTTAATCAAAGATGATATTATACCCTGTTGAAAAAGAACAATAATAATTCTATGGTGACAAAATTTTTTAATGATATGCTGATTTGAAAACAATGAAACAGTAAATTAATTATAAAAAAAAAGAAAAAAGAAAAAGATCTTAAGGCAATCATATGAAGTTATGGAATCCTGACCAACTTGCAGCTTTCCGTAGTCCAATAAGTTAAAAATTGATCCACCATTGAGTAGGTTTAAGGCATTAAGCATGCAATGAACAGAAACTGAAAGTCAGTTTGATTTGACTCATGGATTTCATGTATGTCGGCCTTGAAAGATAAACCTTGCAAAAGCCATGTCTATCAACGTAAACCTGAAAACCATATTATTCATAAGAGGAAAGAACACAACTTCACATCTAGAGCTTAGGCATCTTAAGCATTGTAGGCTAAAAGGGGAAAAAACTGTACGAATGCATGACAAAATTTGGGTAGGGTAGGATAATTTATTTTATAGGCATTAGTATCTAAATTAATCATTGAGTTTGATTAAAAAATAAAATAAAATAATCTACGTGAAAGTAAAATTACAATTTTTTTAATCTTTTTAATTGAATTATTTCATTTATAAAGGCATTCACTTAGAATTATTTAAATGAGTTAAATTATAAGTATTTGAGGAAATATAATGTTATTCAAAAAATTAGTTAATTAGACTTTATTCTTTTATTTTAAAAATTTATGAAGATAATTATAATAAAATAAAAATTCATAATCTTAATTTCATATAATAAAATATTTATGATTTATATTTATTTATATTAAAATTTGAGAGTTTATTATTCCTCTTTTATATTGGAGAAAAGATTATTCTAATATTATTTTTAATAAAGAATCAAACATTAGTCACTAAATTTAATTTTGAATGCAATAACTCATTCACTTGTTATTAACAAAAAACAATCAAATCTCTGTTCTCAATTTTTATGAACTTAATATCATCCTAAATTTATTACGTTGATATTCATTATTTTTTGAAAAATTATTAAGCATTTAATTTAAAATCAATTTAAGTAGCATAAAATTTAATTTAGCAGCCTTGAAATATCATCAATACACAACACATATTACATTATATTCATTCATTCTTTAATTATTGAGTTAATTACCCAAACTTTGAAAAAATATACAAATTGATATATAAAAGAAACAAAATATGCAATTTGTACATTGAACTTTCAAATTATGTATCATATTAATCCATACTCTATCACGTTAACCATCTCAATTTATATATGGCATCATAAAAAATATTATTGAATTATATATTCACCTCACATATATACTAGCAATATCTATTTTAAATAAAAAGGATCTAAACAATATTTTTTTTTATCTAAACTGTGAAAATTGTTTAGAATCAATCAATTATTATTTATCATGTTGTATTGACATGATCTTTTTACAAAATATTTAACACTTTTTATTTAACAAATAATATGCATATAATAAAATTATAGTGGTTAGATACTTTATAGGCTAGTTAAGTTAATGATATTAGAATTTAGATTAAAATGCTACATTATTTAAAAGTTTAGGGAACAAATTGTATATTTTATGTTTTAAATATCAATTTGTACGTTTTTCAAAGTTTTAAGTACCAAAAGTGTAATTAACTACTCTTAAATCTTAATTATTTAAATAATTGAGCTTGCTACTTGATAGTGAGCTTTATAACAATGCGTTTGGATGAGAGATTTCAATTATAAAGAGATTTTTAAAATTTTAAAATAGACTTACCTTATTTAGCAAAATGAAAATTGAAATTATAAAAATTCTTAAAATTTGAATGAGGATTTTTAGGGGACTCAAATGCTCTTTTCAAGAATTGGAATTTGTGAATTTTTTAGTTTTTTCTTAAGAAGTTAATAATCACTATGTTTCATTTTTTAATACAACTTTTGTTTTCTTCTATTTTAAATAACAAACTCATTATAAATTTTATTTTTTAATTTTTATATTATTAGTAATATTTTCACATTTTTACAAATTTAATAACACTAATATTACTTATATTTTTTAATATTTTACTTTTTCTATTTCTATTATCATTATTTATCGGTTATAATTATTTTTTATCTTATCAAGTTTCAAAATTTAAAATATATTTCTAAAAAATAATTATTCAACAATAT